GACTCTCTTGGTTGTGTAAGGACACTTATAAGAGAGCTGAGTACACTCTAAAATCTAATCCTTGGAATCATTATTTCCTCAAAATAAAATCAGACGAAAGCGCTAGAGATTATATAACCTTTTTATTTACCAAAAAAAAAAAAAAAAAGTATATGACAAAAAAAGAGAAAACTCTAGCAATGATAGCTCTGTGCATTCATAGCAAGGTTCACATGTAATATTATCTCTTACCTTTGGATTCTTTTCTAAAGAATAGACATTTTTCCTGATCCATATATATACATTATATAACCACCTAAAATTATTCTTAAATCAAAACTGTAGTCTCAAACCAACTATAGCTGAATCTGCTGAATTAATTCTTTGGAAGCAAATAATATTTGGTTCTTTGATTTTAACCTTGACCCAAACTGATACAAATACTCTAAATTCAAATCCTAGTTGCCAAATATCCTAGGATCAAATCCTAGTTGCCATTCTTCCTCTCTATCCTACTTGATATATTTTGTACCTTTGAGATGACAAATTCCAAATGTGTTTATCAACACTTGCAGAACACTTTTTTAATATTAGGAAACCCCTTCTGTTGAAAAATCTTCTTTTAATTTCAGTGAAAATACTATTTTTGATCATTCAGCAGATAGCAAAGCTGTTCAGAATATATATACATGCAGAATATAGTGTATATGTGCATTACCAACTGGTATAATTCGGTTGCTGCTTTTCATGTAATCATCCCAGGGATATTTCTAATAATGTCATCAGTTAATTGTGATACTTCTTAAATTCCTCAAAACTAAATTTTCCAGGACCCATCTTTTTCTAGTGCATCTACACTAGGCACAATGAGTACCTGTTTGAGTGGAGTTTTTAGGTGAGGCCTCCAAAAGAAATACCAATTATTTTCCACTGTAAAAGCCTCCAATTCCAGTGTTATTAGCAAATCGCTATAATTTACCATACGTACACACATTTCTTAATTTCTTTTTCTTTTTTCTAAAATTCTCAAATCAGTGCTCCTACAAACACCTTCTAAGGACATTCTAGCCCAAAAGTAATTGGACACCTGAAGCACTGTCTATTTAAAATGCAATTTGGATGTGACCCTTGACTGTCCAATTTCCGGTTCTACAGAGACAGAATTTAGCAAAATTGTAAAGCGTGTTGTAAGGGCCACGTTTGAAGTTAATAGGAAACAAACTCGGGCCAATAAGGAGCATAATCTAGAAACAGACAGCAGCCTGTGACATGTATATAATTAGAGAAATTGGAGACTTTGCCCATGAGACCATGTGTTCCACAGCAAATCCTATTTCCTTCATTCTCTCTTTCATAGTTATTGTAAGAGTAATCATTGTGCGATTATAGCCCCTAAGTATAACATATCAGTTTCTTTTTGTTCTTTCCAATATTGGTGTTAATTGAATTCACTGAACAAATGACTAAATAAATCCACAGCTCAGATCTTATCAGGCCAACTGACTTGCAAGTCTCAAACCATATAAGACCAAAAGGCCAAATTCTACATCATACAGGCATTCTACATGCTGGCCCTTTCTTCCCAGAAATATAAACTATTAGCTATTCCTTTTGATATTTCCAGGCTAAAAAAGTGCAAAATCAAAATGACAACATGAAACGAATTTTGCATGAAGTCCAAATTGCAAGGAGGAAGTTCATTTTTTAACTTCCAAGGAAAAATAAATAAAAGTTGTAAGTTCTGTGTAGGAGAAAAGTGCATTCCAAATAAAACACATTTATCATACAATTATAAAAATAGTTTTAAAAAGATTAGAGCTCCCACTGCTATTCAGCACAACTGAGTTCTATTTCCTGACCTTCTTACTGTAGCACATCAGTAACCTAACACATACTTAACAGGAGGAAGGAAGCAATCAGTCTGAAAAAGACTTATGTATCATAGTGAACAACAAATTAGGCATGAGTTTCCATAGCGATAAAGAAATAAAAGGCTGCTGCAATATTTGGTTGTCCACAGCGAGACACTAGTGAAGTAAAGAGGTTAGATTTCCTTCTCCTTAGGTTGGGGTGTTAGTGTACTCAGAATTCAATCTTAAATTCTGCTTCCACATTCCAAAGAAAATATTGAAGGAACTGGAAGAGGAATAAAAACAAGTAGATCTGCAAGAAGCAGAACTATTAAGTCCTATGGATTTGGATTTCATGGTTGGATTCTCTGCCATTTTAAAAATGTAAATTGCAAACAGTACTTTTTCCTGTGCATCTCCTTTGTGGATTCTCTGATGTTTAATAAGAAATGATCTCATACTACAGCCTCTCTGCCAGTGGGAGCACTAATGGGGTCTCCGGCCCATCTGGCAGGCAGCTTTCCTGAAAGTTACAGGAATTTCTGCCCATTGGGGTTGAAACTGGCCAACAGTCAAAAAGCTACTGAGGGATAAAGGAGAGGAAAAATACTGCCAGCCACTCATAAATCTAGTCAGACAAGTATAACATAGACACTGTGATCATATAAACCTTGTTTCCCTGGGAAACTTGGCTAATTATCAAAGGGCTGGAAAGATTCACTTATGATGAAAGTCCAAAGGCCCCAAAGCAGAAAAATACTTAAACACTTAAAGCTGAAGTGCTTTATTGGATAGAGGACTAAAGGAACTAAATACGATAGCTAGGCTAAGAGACAAATGATGAGGAACGTGATAATCCACAGAAATATAAATGTTAACCAAGGATGAGGAGGATTTATTTGTATCAAGAGGAGCTGCTGCTAAGCAGAATTATAACCAGGAATGATGGGATTAAACAAAGGAGGCTTTAAGATAAATATCAAGAAATGCCATCAGTGAGATCAGAGTCCATGGAAGAGTTTCTGGATGTAGATAGTGGAAGCCCCATTGCATGAGACAATTAAACCTGGACTGGAAGACATGGACAGGGAGATCAACCGGAAGATGCGATACGTCTCTTTTCAGTTTTCACTCTTGGATTCATGGCACAGAATCACAATCTAAATAACATAGCAAAAACTGCACTACAACTTGGTAATAAATTGAAATATATATATATATATATAGTACAATTAAGTTTTAATGTTTATACGATCATTGTCTTTATATTGTTCCATATACTTTCACTTTTTTTTTTTTTTTTTTTTTGTTTGTCCGCTGTTGTGTGTCAGTGACTGGTCTGATACAACAGGAGAAAAATGTAGTAAACTCAGATAAAGAAAGAATGTCAGGTTTTCTAATGATAGCTTTAATTTATTTATTTTATTTATTTTATTTTTGTGAGCAGAAGCATGTGTGAAATACCAAGCAAGACTGTAGAGTTTCTAATAATAAGAAAAAATCTTCAATACATTTTCACATCTATGTAGATAAGTTAAGAAAATGAGGTTGAAAAAGAAACAATAAGAAGGAAATGTAATATATACAATATATAAAAGCTGTAGTGTAGCTACTAGCTGTTGCTATTCCTGTTGATTCTTTACAAAAATGGCAGAAACCTGACCTAGGATGTAAAAATGGATGTCTTACTAGCATATCGCCTACATGCTCCATTAAAATAAATATCATATTATACAGATAATTCCTTTATTTAGAATTACTAAGAGAGTCACTATGTACAAACTATAAAAATTACTTGTGCTTTAGTGTTACAGTCATGCTATACTGAATGGTATGTTTTTATATTTTTTAATTTTCTAGTAAAACACAAAACAAACAAAATTCATAAACGAGATTATACAGTGAGTTTGATGCAGCATTTTTTAACATTCATTTAATATAGCTGAGCTGTAATGACTAATACTGCCCATGTCCGCTAGTACAAAGACCTAAATAAGGTTCCAGACTAGATTACATTCATGCAGGTCTCATTTTAACGGAAATTGCAGAGATGAAAAAAAGATTGCAGGAAGACACATTATAAAAACAGACCTCACAAGTCAAACTTAATAGTGAAACCATTCTCTTTCATGTAGACAACCATGAAAACAAATATCCTGTAAGCACTAGATATATATTGTATCTTTCTACCAGATCTCTTTGCCTCCTTGAGACAGATTCCCATTCATCTCATGACTATATAATTTGATCATAGTTGACTAAGGCACAGCAGGGGGAAGGGTCTGTCTGATAAAATATCAGGCGCCAGGAAGATAGATAAACAACTTCATGATTTCCAGTTGTAACAGGAATGGCATAGTAGTGGATACAAAGATATTAATTTCATAGGAATACAAATACTCCGCATTTTTTTTCTCTTACTAAATACAGTTTTTCCATTAAGTGAAAATGACAATCTGATTAGGATAAACTAACACTGAATGGCAGAATAATACACAAGGTACATGTGAGAAGTGAAATGAAATTTTTGTTGATCTGCCAATGTGCAAGTTGGTACAGAACATTTTTTAAGTTTAAGTGAAAAAATGAAGACAAAGATTTTTCCCTCCTGTGGAGTGTTTTGAAATCAGAGAAACAATACTTAAAAGTGGGTGAAGCAGTTGCTTATCAAATCATTTCACATTTAAAGATAAAACTCATCATTCACAAGGTCAGGCTGGTAAAAACACTTCTCTTGTTCTGTATGGCACTAGAGTACTGTCTATATCTCACTCCACCTCATTAAGTCCCAGAGGCAATAAATGAAAGTTTGACTGATAATATTTGAATAGTTATTATAGATTCCTTTATATTTCGTTTATACACATTTTTTGTACATATTAACACAGATACATATATGTCATCTATTACTAATCCAAACCATCTTAAGAGACAACTGTTACATTCTCTTTGGAAATATTTCCTGTCTTGGGTAGCTGAAGAACATGGTGACATTCAGTCATGGTGACACTTGACTTATTAAAGTTTAAAGGACAAAATCATATTTTATAGTAAATTGGTAGTAAAAAACCCTGCATGGTTTCTTTTTTTCTTTACTAAAGAGAATACTTTATATTCTGGAGTAAGCGTTTTTTTAAAGCCATCGTACTGTTTAATTTAATATGAACATACCTGGGATTCTTTTACATTTTCAACAGTGAAGTTGAACCAAACTCGAAAGCGTGGGTTACAAGTATCTGGTCTAATGAAGAGGTCATACTCAAACTCTGTGATGTGGTCCACCCGTCCAAGGTTACCTACCAAAAACATATAAAAAGGAATGCATTTTAAAGAATGGTTGATAAACTCTGTAACACCAACTACACTGAGAAAAGTTTTATCCCTGGTGAAAAGAAAAAAAAAAAAGAAGAAGAAGAAGTTTGGCAGTGGGAAACTAGACAAGTGCTTTTAAATTGTTAAATTGGCATGTTTCCTCTGAAGCATTCAGAAGTATTTTTTAAGGTGAGGGTTAGATTGTCCATTTTATTTCTACACTACCAAAATAGGACTTACTTTTTCCTGATCCAACACAAAACCATCTCATCAGATATTATAATAAAAAGAAAGGTCTCTGCTCTATCTTAAATGCTAAAGTAAACAAAATTATCACTACACAGTGGCTGTTCTTTATGGATTGAGATATATTTTTCTTTCAAGATATATTTGGGGTTGAATATATATATGGGTTCAAATAATTGCTTATAACTCTCCTCGAGCTCCCTGCCCACCATGTCCTCTTTAAGTCAGTGAGATTGTCCATTGCCTAATGTGCTTCTCTATGTGAGCAACAGTACCTAAATCTGGCTGATTGGCTGTTTGGGGTGGAAAAAAGGCAGGAAAAAACATTTTCAGCTCTGCTCATCAATATGTTTTCAGATTTCTTGCTTATTCTAAAATGTGTCTCGCTTTGCTAATTGCACAGTGAACATTTTTAATCTTCCCTATTTTTAATGCTATCCTCTTTACTTTCCTACCCACATTCTTTTTCTTAGAACAAAATTCTCTTAACTGATTCCCTCTGCAGAAAACCATTTCATGCTAACAATCTGTTCCTAAACACTTGCCTAAAGGGTACATTTGAAATACAAAATATTTGAAAAATTGGAACTATTTTACAGCTATTCACCTTTGCCAAATATAAATATAAATAACATAATCTGCCTGACTCCGGGTTGAGGCCCTTCCTCATCGAAGCACACTTTCTGCCACAAGGGTCAATTCTATCACTGTTATTCACAATGAGAGAACCAGAATCTTCATGTAGATTATTACTTCTCACAGATTACTACCCAATATAAACAAAAGCAGTAAAATGTTATTGCATTGTAATGCCTTTAATGAAAGGGCTTTTTTTAGTGCGTTTTTCCATTAAAATGTCATGTTCATTTGACATTTTGGGGAAA